CTGTTATTGTTCACTGCTGTATCATATCCCTCCCCCCCCCCCCCGCGGCATGGAGTAAGCTCTCAAAGAGGTTGTTTTACACAAGTAAATTTTTTTTGGTATTTTTTTTTAACATTTTTTATTGATTTGTAATCATTTTACAATGTTGTGTCAAATTCCAGTGTTCAGCACAATTTTTCAGTCATTCATGGACATATACACACTCATTGTCACATTTTTTTCTCTGTTACACAAGTAAATTTAATTAGAAAATAAATTTAAATTAGTATCTGGATGGCACAGTGTAGCCAATCCACACATGTCAAGTTCTCTCTATGCATGTAGTACATGATTTTTCTCCTGCCTTCGTTGTGATGGAAGTAATGACAGGAGCATCCCCATTCCATCAGTTCTAGGACACCCCCCCACCCCAGGCATTGTGACAAGTCTGAAGCTTACAGCTGGTGACATTTGTTGAGTGTCCTTTTCCCTTTGTCATATGCTCTTCCCTATTCCTCTTCCTACCCCACCCCAGTGCACCCACCCATTCAGGCACTCGTGGCCTCAGGCCATCTCCTATATCCCAGGGCTTCAGGTCCAGGCTGGACTCCCTACTCTGGACTTTCACCTTCTTCTATCATAATTTACCTCACCTCTTCTCAGGGAAATGACAGCTACTACAGGCATCGCTGTGCTCCCTGTGTTAAAGCCATCACATAGTTTAATCTGCATGACAGCCCTGTGGAGTAGCCCATTAATATCGCCCCTCCTTACAAGTAAGGAAACAAGCCCCAATAACTTGAATAATTTGTAAAAATAGTACAGTTTTCTAAAGGCCTGGTTTTAAGCCCAGATATCTCAAACCTAGGAGTTGGTATCTTTTTCACCATCCCCACTGACACGTGTTGAAGACCAACTAAGGTGGCTATAGCTGGGAATGGCTTAATGCGCTCTTTCTCTTAGGGAGAAAGAGGAGGGAAACATTCAGTGTAACATGGCATTGCCAGGGACCCCATACCTCGATGCAAAGGAGTGCATCTCTAATGGTGGGATTTGTGGGCACTCTGGCAGATCTGTGAGATTCACAATCCTGAGCAGGGAGAGAGCTTCAGGCAGCTTCCTTATAATCTCACTGTGTTGGAAACCACCTTATATGCTTCTTGCCAGGCCTGGAAAACAGAGCAGAAAGCATTTAATGAATGACTTGTCGTTCCACCTCCCCAGCTGAGTCAGATTATCCACCAGACTCATGAGAGTCCAGTTAGAATAAACCGGCTGATCTGAGCACTAAGCATTTCCCAAGTTATGAAATGCAAGCAGATCTCAGAGATAATGCAGATTCGGTTCCAGACCACCACAATAGAGCGAGTATCACAATAAAATGAGTCGCACGACTTCTTCGGTTTCTCAGTGCATATAGAAGTTATGATTAGGCTATACTGTAGTCTACCAACTGTGCTGGAGCATGTATCTAAAAAAATTTACATACCTTAATTAAAAAATACTTTATTACTTAAAGAAGCCAACCATCAACAGAGCCTTCAGTGAGTTGTAATAGTAACATCAAAGGTCACTGATCATGGATCACCATAACAAATACAATAATTTTTAAAAGTTTGAAATATTGCAAGAATTACCAAAATGTGACACAGAGACACAAAGTGAGCAAATGTTGTTGGGAAAATGGTACAAATAGACTCACTCAATGGAAGGTTGCTGCAGACCTTCAATTTTTTAAAAAATGCAGTATCTCAAAGCACAATAAAATGAGATGTGCCTTTACTTCTACAGCCTTTTATACCTCTTATTATTTTTTTCACTTGCCACAAGATACAGATATCTAAATTTCAGAGACAGGAAAAGATCTTCATGAGATCCAGCCCTAAACTGTAAAGCCATCAGTTCTGCTTTTACTTTACTCATGGGAGGTCTTGTTTTGTTGGAACATTTTTTCAGCGAGGCCCGATCGAAGAAGACTCAAGAAAGAATCAAAATATTAATGGGTTTTGGACCTTGTTCGTTTCTTCCCAGGTGAAGGTTGTGTCTGCACAGTAACACCCAAAGGGTCCATTTTTAACTGGATCTTTAATGTCACACATGTGCGAACTCCTTCAAAAAAATAAATAACTTCTGAGATAATGTTATGCCAGCACTGTCTAGTCAATAGCTCTCTTAAGTGTTGCAACACACTTACAAGGTAGGTTTTTTTTTCAATCCTTCATTTTACAGATGAGGAAACTCAGGGTCAGAGAGGTTAAATAACTTGCCCAAGGTCACACAGCTAGTAAATGGCAAGGTCAGGATTTCAACCCAGTCTGACAACATCAGAGTTCTAAATTTTAACCAATCCACTTACTACAACATACATCATTATTGCTAATTGGTGAGCAATCATTTTGCCTTGTGCTCCTAATTCATTTTATATCTCTTATTCATAACTGCCCCCTCTGTTGATTTTTCTTACTGGTGGAAATAATGAGGATGGAAGGGAGAAGACACCATACGGAACAATTAAATAAATTTCCTAGCCTCCAGCTCCTGGATTTCCAACAAGAACTTGCCCAACCCTGTATGCTTCAAAATGCAGAGGGTTTTATCTCCTGAGTTGCTGGCTCTCCACACTACCAACTAACTTACATCTTAAATGTGTTTGTTTTAAAGTGGCCACTAAAGATTAAATCCCCTGAATGAGTCCAAGATAAAACACAGAGTCATTCAGTTCTAGAGAGACATAAAGCAGCTGCAACCAGGGACAGGTTCAGGGGAAATTGATCAGATGAATTCACAGAATTGGAAAAGAAAATACATTTGAGTAGTGAGAGAGAAGACAGTCAGCTCGCTTCCCTGAGAGACCTTGAACAACATTCTAGACTCTGCCTGAACCTGCTGGCAGACACTAAGATGTATCTGGGATGATACATAAGTGAGCGTCACAAACCATTGGGACTGGTTGACCCTGACACATGCAGGCAGCCGGGCACCCCTTCCGTGATTTTTCCAGAGCCCCTTCTGTGCACTCAGCACTATGATCAGAGTCAGGAATTCCATGGCGAACAGAAGCAGACAAGAACTTTCCCTTCTTGTGTTTACCGTTTTGTGTTGGGGACAGAACTAAATCAAATAATCTCACACATGAATATATCATTTCAAATCCAAATAAGTGCAATGAGGCAAAGAAGCTGGACTCTGTGAGAAAATGGAATGAAGGCCTCATGGAAGACTGACACTTTAATAGAAACATGAGCAGATATCCACCAGTCAACAGCAGATGGAACTCCAGGCAGAGGGAACAGCATGTGCAAAAGCCTCATGACAGCAAGGCCATCACTGAGCAAGAAGCATCTTTGTGCAAATTAGAAAAAAGGCCCCATTTCCTAGAGGCCCTTTGCTTCTGTTGGAAAATTGTTGTAATTCACTGGTTTTGTTAGAACAAGTCTTTTCACTGTCAGCTTCCAAAAAACTTGTTTATACAATTCTACATTATCTAGACTGTCAATTCCAGTATTGGAACACAGCTCCCAGTATTACAGAAACTAGCCACATTTGGCTATTGAGCACTTAAAATGCATCTAGTCCAAGTTGAGATGTGCTCTAGATATAAAATGCACACTGGGTTTTGAAGATTCAGTGTGAAAAATACATATAGAATGCCTCAATTATCTTTACATTGATTGAATGTTAAAATGGCACTATTCAGATCTATTGGGTTAAATAAAATGTTGTATTGATTTCACTTGCCTCTTTTTATTTTTTTTCAACATGGCTACAAGAAAATTTTAAAGTCCCTGTTTGACTCAGGTCTGTGGCTCGCATGACATTCTTACTGGCAGCACGGGCATGCCCTTTGGTGGAGTGGCCTTGTGTAACCGCACAACCTGGCAAACCATATCCTGAGTGGCTGGAATGGACCTGATGCGCACAGGAAATCAAAGGACAGTGGGTCATTGTCACGTTGAAGGCAGAGAGGAGGGCAATGCCAGATAAGACAGAGGCCAGCTGGTGCCAACTCCTACTTTCTATGCCTGGAAAGTTCAATAAAGTTCATTCTTTGCCTCATGTTCAAGGGTGCCTCTTTTGCTTTGAAATTTGTCTCAGCAGTGATTTATTTTAAAAAGCACTTATTGAGCACCTCCTGTGTACTGAGCACTCTGCTGGGAGCTATAGATGCAAAGGTGAACAAGATATCTCTATTGATATGGGGTATTCAGACTGTAGGAGACACAGGCAAGCAAGGGGACCATTCAGGAGTGTGAAAGTCCTGTGCTGAGCCCTGAATGCTAAATACTGTGTGCTGCTGACGGTAGAGGAGTTGGGCGAGAGAACATGGAGAACGCAGCAAAGACTGACCCCTCCCGAGAAAAGCATATGCCGTACTGCGGCCGTGCGCCCAGCCCTGAGCGCAGCTCCTTGCAGGGTGTGGCCAAGATATACAGAACCTACAGCCCACCACTCCTCCACACCTCCCTGGATACCTCTCCATGGCCAAGTGGGGATGTTTCTTTTCAGTGGGAAATCCGCATAACTCTCTTTAGCATTCTGGATGATTATAGTTTGTCTCTTATCATATCTTCAAACCAGTAACTTTAGAGATTCAACAGGAAAGGGCTAGTGAAATCTTCACTTGAGAACACTGAGGGTTGAAGCTGGGTAAACCAGAGAGGAGGAATTCTAGAGACCCAAGCCTTAGGGATGTGAAGCCCCAAACAAACCTCTTGTCCTCACTGCCACCAACAAGTGTTTCTATTTATATTAAAATGAATCTGAAGAGCAGTAATAATAATAACATCAACTATACTAACTGTATACCAGACACCGTGCTGCGCCAGATACATTTATTTGCTCATTTCATCTTCTTACAAACGTAATGAAATGGGTAGAATTGTACCTTTTTTACAAGCGGGGAAACTAATTCACAGAGAAGTTCATGACTGGCCCAATCTGCTGGTAGGTGGGGAAAAGATGCAGCAGAAGAGCTGAGTACAGGAGAGAGAGGGCTCGCTGTAATCCCGGAGAGGAGGGCTGCTTGTGCGCTGGCTGCATGTACACGAGCCTCAGGCTTTATAAAGCATGGGAGGTGGACCCCCTGCTTCCCACGGCCCCTCCACCTGGAGAGGCCTTTCCAGTGGGATACTGAAGGAGCAGTTTACCCACTATTGTTTCTCACCTCTCAGTCCACATGGCATATGGCTTAGAGTTCCAGCTGCCAAATATGTGTCTAGTTTCACTTGTTACCAAAAAAACTAGTTCTAAAGAGAAATTAGAACACTAAAATTATTTTTTAAGTATTCAAAAGATGGAAAGTAAATAGATCCTTATTTCTAACGTATTACTGACTTAAATGAGGATTATTTAAAGATATTCAAAGTGCTTCATTTTCCCTTCCTTCAGAGATCAGTCTGTCTGATATTAAAAGCATAAAACATATGAAAAATTGCTTTAAAGGCTCTTCCTCACCAAAGACCTAAATTGGATGGCATTGTGTGCACACATTAACCTTCAAGGGCATGTGCTTTGAGATGGCTGCCAGTGCCATCATAAGTGGGCTCCAAGCTTCCTCCATCCGTCCTGTTGAGAAGTATCAGGGAGAGGACGAGGCGTGTCCACACAGACCAATGTACAGCAAGCAATGCCTGTGTCCCTCAGCTCTGAACACACAGGGGCCAGAGCGGGCTGACGTCAGTCCCAGGGTTGGCACGACAGCCGGGTGGACTTATCTGCTTGTGCAAATAACCTTTGCTGGAGGCCCAGCTTGTGCCACGTTCAGACTGGGGCACCCTGAGCTCCCGTACCCACGTGGTCTCCCTGATTATTTGTTCAGGATCCTGCAGTGGCCTGGCTAGAATTCAGACAGAGCACAGCACTGGGGTCCTGCCACTGACTCTGGAACCAGACAGCCCGGTGAGGAGCCTGGCTCAGTCATGCCCGAGCTGCATGATCTGTGTGATCTGTCCTCCCAGTGCCTCAGTTTCCTCATCTGTAAAGTGTGGGTATAGCCAGCACCATCTCAGGGGGCTGTTGTGTGGAATAAATGGGTGAACATGTGTCAGACCCTTAGAACAATGGCTGGCGCACAGCGAGCAGGAGGTGCTGTTATCATCCAGAGCGTGGCAGGACCCGCCACCTTCAATGCCACTTTTCACCAGTCCTCATCTTGAGATGACACACTGCC